GATGCAGTTTTTTACAAGGATTCTGAATATGTGGTTGGTTTTAAAATTCGAGTGAAAAAAGTGAGATTTTCATCATTTTTTCGAAAAAAATGCTTTTTTTATTTACTTTAAAAAAGAAAAGTGTACTTTTTGTATTTGACATCTATCTTCGCAAAAATACAATTTATTCTAGAAAAAAATCTATTACCAAAATGATCAGCGCAAAATTCTCTACAAACCCTGTAACTTTGAATGAATTTGAGCGTGGTCGCCGGATCGGCTGGCGATTTCCGGTGGAATGACCCATGAGAAAAAAGAGAATTTTCATTGATAAGCGCCATCCAACAGCTTTTATTTTAATCATTCGTATTTCAAAATTTCATAACCACTGAGCCAAAAAAGTTTGGTAATTTTATGGAAAATAGGACTGAATAAATGGAGCGTTTGAAAAATAAATTGTCCAAATCGGTTGCGATATAAGCTTCTTCATGCTTCCGGAGCAACCTTACAATACCCGCGAAATTCACGCACATATCACTGTTGAATAAATATTTCACTACCATTTAATTATTTTATTTTAACTGCTCCAGTCTGTAAATGTATATCTACTGAATTATCTCTTAGTTGATAATCAACTATTCAAGTTTTACATTCTAATCTTGAAAGTATTGCGCTAGCAAACTTTCTTTTTCGCTTTTTATTGTAGCTATTATTATTATTGTACTTCCAAGCCATTTTACACACACGTGTGCGAAGTAAAATAGATCTCAAGAAATACTCTCTGTTACATATTGACACAAGCATTTGAAACCTATTGTGTTTTCAATACCAAGATTTTGTTTCATTATTATTTTTTAGTAAACGAAACATTTAAAAAAAATGAATCATACAAAACATAGACGTAGTATAAATCATCGATTACCTGCACGTTGAAATGTTACTTCAAGTAAATAATTCATGTGCATCATCGTTTGTGAATCATTTTCTCGCTCCTCCTCGTCGCTGCATGTCTGTACATATTTATTTCATTTTCGTGGCATTTATTGAAACTTGAAGAAAAATCGAAATAGAATTTACAAAATAAATATTCAAACAAGCTTGACGAAAAACAAGAATAATATCCATATGTCAATCAAATTCAATAACATATCAGAGAGTATTGAGTAATGCATTGAATAGTTGCCTTACTCCTTAAAGTTTTTTTTGTACACTTTATGAGGTGAAACAAAATTAAATGCAATCAAATAAAAAATTTTAGTCGAATATAGTCAAGATAACATTTGTGCGGCTCTGATTCAAAAGTCCACTGATCTATGTAAATGTCACAGTTGATATGAGAATTTCAGTTGAGATTAGAGTGCGCGGAAAAAATGATTAATCGACAGATTATAGAAAAACAGAATACAAAATTTATTCTTCTTAGATAAAGTTAATATCCCCATGCTCTCATAGCTTAAAAAAATATACAGAGAATGAATTTATTACACATATAAAAAATACGAAATTTATTTTTCTTAGATAAATTCAATGTTCCCCCATAGTTGGAAAAAAATAAAGTTGAATTATTTAAAAACTCATTGTAAAAAGATGCAATGAATAGTTCTCCATATAAAAATTTCTAAAGTCAGATTTTAACAAAAATTCTATTTAAAAAAATTAGGAAAAAAACTATGCGAAACTCGCCTGCCACATAAACGTAGTCAAATATACTGTGATTCATCTCGATTAATTTCCAGAACATATGGGTTAATCATCACGTACAAAGAACGAATATTACTCATATGAAGAGTAGGAGTCAACAGAATCATGGCAAGAGAGATCTTATGCTTCTCTCTCACTCTACTTATATATATATATATATAATAGAGACTTGAGTAAAAAGAAGACATAAATTCAAACACATATTTATCAAGAGTAGCAAACTATGTCTACAGGTGTGTTAGAAGTGAACATAATCGAAGGCCGCAGCCTTAAGAACGGTAATTTTTTTGGCGAAAATGATGCGTATGTTGAAGTCTATATGGACAAAAAATACAAACAGCGAACAATAACAATTAAAAATTCCAATATTCCAGTATGGAACGAACAATTGACTTTTAATATTCATAAGAAAGATAGTACAATTCATTTTGATGTCTACGATGCTGATCTGATCGGTAGAGACACTATTGGCAAATGTACAGTTAATCTGAAGCAAGT